GTCTAGCCAGGAACCCTCATTGTTCTGCGTATCCAGAAGGCAGACGTACAGGAAGAAAAACTGTAGCCTGGTAGCTTTTCCATGAAGATAATATCTACCATTCTTCAAGGTGGTAGTTGAAATAAAGCAAGAGAAGTGAAAGATGAAGATCAAATGTCCACCAAATGTGTAATATTTACTTTTTTATTCTTGGATCTTTCCTGCTTAGATAACTACAAACACGTGCAAACTCTCTGAGACCCCCTAACCCAATACCCAGTAGAAAGAGCCTCCAGAAAAAAAAACCCAATTATGGAGTCCCCAGGCTTGTGGAGATCCACACGTATGAGGATCTCACACAGGCAATGTATTTTTGTATTAGGTTAAGCCTTCAGGGACTACTGGCAGATACTGCATTTGCGATGGGCAAATCCAACAAGCCATCTGTCAACCAAGTCATAACTCTTGGCCATGACATATATATTTAGAACCAAAGCCTCTAGGCTCCCAGAGTGTGTTAACTGGCCTTATGAGAGTCTAACTTCTCTAAACAAGGGCTTACTTTAAATGAGGCAAGGGTACCCACATGTACAGAGGTATGTTGAGGTGACACAAAAGTATTGTCACGTAGACATTGTATAGAAAGTCCCTTCCTGTCAGTCTCTAGCACCTATACATCAAATGAGTTAGGAATGGGGATGATGAGGATAGTACAGTTGTTTCTAGTGGAAGTTTCAGCTTAATGAAGAGGGAATGTCATGCCAGAGACCAGAGAAGCTCCTTATTCAGGGTCATGACCCAGATTTTTCAGTGGACGCACTGTGTCATCAAAAAAGGCAATCCTGATTCATCAATTCTTTGGACTTGAATTCCTTTGACTGAGACCATCAGACACTTAAACTAAATGGCAAGTTTACACACCCATCCTAGTGTTAGTGAAGAAAAACTATGGCCACTTCCAGCTTCACAAAGAATTGCAGAAGGAATACAAAGCCACAGAAGCAGATATACAATTAGATGCTGTCAATCCTTTCATTTATTTAGAAGTAGAGGACCTCTGAGTTATTAACCCAGTGGGAGCAAACAATCCCATCGCAGTGAAATCTGGCAGGGGATGTCATCTTGTCAAGACATCCGCTATTCTGGAGCTTCCCTGTCGCATGGAAAATCACCAAATTCAGTTTCAACCTGGTTGAAAGGGTGCATGGTTAATTTAGTTTTTTTCTTTTTTCCCACTGTGTTAGGAAGGAAAATCAGAGTGCTCTAGGCTCTAACGGTAGACTCTATCATCATTATCAATAAAGGAAAAGAAAATGAGAGATAAGCTCGGGAACGAATGGAGAAGACAATGAAGTGTTAGAAGTCTCCCAATGGCCCCAGCAAACTAGCCTGTGGAAGACTGAAAACTTTAGGAGTGAAGTTTTTTTTATTCATGTTCTAGCACTGAATTTCCAAGGTGGGTCTATCAACACATAAAAGTCCTAAAATCTAACACAAAAATGCATCCTTATCTGACATTTATCCACTGGCAAAGTCCATAAATCTATATAGTCCTCAAAATGATATGGACATGTTTCTGTTAACTGCACTGGAGGAACCAACATGGGACTGTGCCCCTTCAGCCAACTTGTGGATCCCCATGCTCTCCCATACAGCTCCTTCCCTCTTATTTGACTCCCTCCTTACCTATAGACAAGCCCAGAAAAGCAAACAAGCAAAATAAATAAATAAATAAATAAATAAATAAATAAATAAAACCATCATCAACACAGTCAACAGATCAACAAATATTAGTATTCTGATTCCCCCAAGACAGCCTAAGAGACAACAATCTGGAACAGTCTCCTCTCTCCTTAACTCCTGCCTTTATCCTTAAAGTCACTACTAATTACTAGAGGATACAAAACATACCCCTTAATGGCGCAGGAGTTCCCTCGGGCAAGCTCCTACAGCAATGGATCCCTAAATGAAAAGTCAATACTGAAAATGAAAACCCTATACAAATACACAGGGTCCTAATAATCATTAATAATTACAGCAAAGCAAGTGCTTCCTACACTAGCTACTGTTCTAACTGGTTTTGCATTTATTATTTAATCCTTACAAGTCACTCACTAATTCATTCATTGAGCAAACATGTACCAAGCACCTCCTGAGTGCCTTATTCTCCTCTAGGTGCTGGGGGCACAGCATTAACTGAAAACGAAAAAAACAAACAAGCCTTCCTCTCTCTAAAGCTTAGACATCAGTGGTTGTCTGTAGGCAATAAATAAATCAATAAGTAAATATTTATATTTAACATGATAACTAGTGATTAAATACGGGAAATGAGAAGGTAGCCAGGCAATGGAATGGGGAATTCTAGGGAAAGGACTCACAAATGAGGGACACGTAATCAGATAGGGAAGGGAAGAATGGGCTTCCTGCCCCTGGGGTTCTGAACCAGGCAGGAGTTGGGCATAGACACTCCAGGGGACTGTGTAGCGCTTATGTTTGGGGAACCACAAGGAAAACACACCAAGGCCACACATGTATTCTTTCCTGTCTCCAGCTTCTACGAAGGAAAACTGGGTCTCGGAGGCTGGTGTGGTACTGAACCATGGAGTATGATAAAGCAATGTATCCAATCCTGACCCTTAACACTTTACCACAGGACTGTACTTTCGAAAAAGCATTTTGTCAATGCCATTATGGATCTTGAAATAAAAATCACCCTGGATTATCCAAGTGGAGGCCTTGATCTACCCACAAATCCATGATCATGATGCGGGGAGGGGGCATTGACAAAGGAGAATTATTAGGTGAAGATGAAGGCAAGATTGGAGGGATGCAATCATGAGGTCAGTGAGCTTTCCCCACTGATGCTTCCAGTTTGGAGAGAGGTCCTAGTACCCTGCACTCAGTTTCTGGACAGCAAAACTGAGAGAATGAGTGTCCCCTGCTTTATGCCACTCACGAGGGGTTGTTTGTTATCCGCAGGAAACTGAAACACAGAGGCTGAGTAAAGCATGGCAAGGTGTGTTACAAAGTTCACTCAGTTTGCAAACCCACACTTAGACTCCAGCAAGTGGATGCACGATGGAGTGCCTGGAGGGACTCGGCTGTATACTGCATCCACTGTAAACTCAGCTGCTCTCACCTCAGGGAAAACTTGACTACTGAGACTGTGTTATCAAGCAACTGTGCCACGTCCTCTGGATTTGTGTGGGCCATCCTTGGAAGTAGCCAAACCTTCTCTAAAACACGAAGTGTCAGGCATAGGTGTTCCTAAACATAAGGCCAGGATTTACTGGCTGCTTCCATGATTGGACCAACCCGGCTGCACAGGAGTGAAGCTTATAGTGTCATACAGCATCTCTGTTTGGGAGCTTTAGGCAAGGCTTCAGAGATCTAATTCCCAGGCAATACTGCGTGAGTGGAATCCACCCAGCTCTCTTCTGCTAGATGCAGGGATAGTTCATACATCTAAAGGGAAGCAGACCTCTACCATCTGATAAGTTATACCCCAAATCTTAATTTAGCTCATACCATTTTCAGTGAGATCTGCCCTGACTAGCCTTCAATAATCACGCAAGCCAGATAATGAAACATCTTGTACTCCAGACTCCCTACAACAAGGCCTAGGAAACCCTCAGGACATGGCACTGGGTAATGCTGTAGCCAGGTAAGTGGCCTTTAGGGGAAGTATCCTCCCTTCCCATTGATGACACGTGAAATGAAATGTACCTACTCTCCAGGCCTGCAGCAGTAAGCTCACAGCACAAGGCACCAAGTCACAGCAGCTGGTGATGCTTGCCATCTCTCAGTGTCTGTGAGCATGCAAAGTGTGAAAAAAAAAGCCTGACGGTTTGTGTATTGAGCTTTCCTGTTGGACTATCTTTGAACCACAAATAATGACCTGGAGACTTAATATTAATTAAGAAAGTTTGGCCTTAGCTTAGGCTTTTTCCCCAACTAGCTCTTATAACTTAAATGTATCTCTTTTAATCCACATTTTGCCATGTGGTTCAGTTACTCTGGTCTGTACCACGTCTCCGACTTCTTCCGAGTCTCTGGCGAAATCCAGTGCCTAGATTCCTCCTCCTCTTCTTCTCTCTCCCTGGGAATCCCACCTATTCTCTCCTGCCTGGCTACTGGCCATCCAATTTTTTATTAAACCAATCAGAAGGTGCCTTAGGCAGAGTCACATCTTTATAGTGCATACAGACACTCCCCAACAGGTTTGCACACAGGCCTTCCCTGACCAGAGGAACTCCTAGCATCACAGCAAAATCAGAGTCCTCTTGTCTGTACCAACCCTTCTCTGCCAAGCCTTCTGTACTCCAAGATCGTCATTCAGATGCCTTCTTCCCCTCTTATGCACAAGAGGTACAGTGCATTCAATTCACAGAATTAGGGGGGTGGAGCTAAAACTTCTTTAAAAATAAAAATAAGCAAATAAACTTCAAAGCCGAAAAATATGTTTTAAAATAGGTTGTTAAGATACTGGCCCTTTTGCCCATTATAATATTTCCTTATGTAATCCAAAATAAAGTCAGTGTTATTCTATGGGAAGAAGGGTTCATTCACAAAGGCCCCATGAAAGTCACCATGCAGATGTGAATCTGCTTTGTTTGCATAGCCGCTGGCTTCTTGAAAACTGCAGCTCCTTCCAAGTGCTAGAGATGCTCCTGGGGCAGAGGCACACCCAGAGCAAGAACCCCTTGCCCCAGCAGCAGGCCCCCTAGCCAATGCTCTCTGCTTGTTAAGGAATCTTCTCCTCCATCTCTAACCAGCCCCTGCTTCACCAAGTAAAACCAGACCCTGGAGGCCTGCAGAAGCGACAAACTACCAAGACAGATGAACAGCAGGCAAGTCCTAAGGAGTGCCAGGCATACTTTCCACCCCCAGCTTGCACCCACCTAGGGCACCAGAGGTACAAGTCCTGTATTCTTCCTAAGACAGGCTTCTCTGTTGTTTGGCTTACGTTTCTCCCCAGCCAAACCATCCAGGGCAGATTTAAGACGGTCTAATCCACTTACCTCCACAGAGAACTCTCAGTCACACTCCCCAGGTTGAAGTCGTACAGTTTCGTCAGGATCAGTATAACCTGCAAGGGGTAGGGGCAAGGGCAGAGAAGAGGGACAAAGGGGAAAGGAAGCTTATTTTAGTTTGTGTAGCAGTATACATCACATCTAGTATCACCCAGAGGAGAGCTTAGTTATTTATCCATTGAGTTTGAGGAGTATTATAGGATCAAGCAAGGGGGGAAAATTATTAATGTAATGCACCCCAGTAACTGGTAGCATTTACTTTAATCCTGACAGTGCTTTGCATTTGAAAGAAAACATGCCAAGCGAAATTAATTGGGCACTAACAGTGGTCTCTACACATCTGTCCTTCTGCAAGGTCAGGCCCAGGCCAGCTGGCTCTGTTCACTACCAAGGCCACTCAGAGATCAGAGACACCCAGCCCCTTGCATTTGATCTCAAGATGACTCTGATGTACAGAATAGGACCTGAAAGACTAAGAGGGAACTGGGTCGACTCTTTCTGTCTACGGAAGGAGTTCAAAGAGGTTTTGTGTTTTCATCAGGCGCAAATGCTCTGTCCCCAGTGCTCTGATACTGCCTGCCACTGGTCAAGCCGTAATTGCCCCCTCCTCGCAATAAGCAGGTCAGGGGACATCGCCAGATCTGGGACTATCCTCCTGACTCCAGCTGCAGTTAGGAAACCCAAAGAGCTAGAGCTATCTAAGCCATAATTAGTAAATGACCGGATGCTTCATCTGTGCCTGTGCCCTTTCCATGACTCTAGCTGAGAATCTGAGTGTCAGGCACTTCGATGTTTGCCCCGGGCACGTTCCTGGAGAGTGGCTTAAGCAAAGCCTCTGTCCACAAGGATGTCAAGTGCACCAACACTACCCCAACTCTGTCACCCACAGCAACATGCAGGTGGGTGAGTCACGTACCCAGTAGCTTATAATTGTGATTATCTAAATGTAATACACATCTCATTTCACTTTCCTCCACTCTTTCCCATCCCACATTTTTATCTCCCTCCAACTCATTTGCACAGCAGTCGTTAAACTCTCCCTGAGATAATTAATTTCTTCTTTCAGGGTGGGACTTTCCCATTCAAGGTATCCATTTAAGATTAAAGAAAAATAATCAGCCATTATAGTGAACATTTTATGGCATTTAACTCACAACAAAGAGTTCACTTGGAGATTTATTCTCTTCCAGCACTCCATGGGGTCAATCAGCCCTATCTGCATTTCTTCTATGTAAAGTAAGAAAGAAATGGGAGGAGAGAGATCGGGGTCTATTATAGGTCAAAGGGAGTCCATGCAAAGTTAACTTGGGACATTCGATTTCTCTGTAAAGCTATCTCTGGAGGCCTCAGGTTTCTCACAGGTGGGGGGGTCTTCTGTGAAAGTAGTATGGATATGTGCAAAACTGTAGACTCTCCCAGGCCACCTGATGTATTACGGCAACACAGCAGCAAGGAGCAAGCAGCCCACACAATGCATTGTACTCCAAGGTCACTCAGTGGTCCTGGTCTCTCTCATCATAGTTAGTTTCCTCTTTGCTGAATCCAGAGATTAAGGAAGTCCCAGAATTTATTCCTCTTCTCTCCAATGGCATGCACAGCAATGAGCCAGAGAATTTCTTTCTGTTGACCATGAACACACACACACATACATACACACATGCACGCAAACACACACACCCTCACACCAGCATTTTCTATCCTTTCCTTTGACCTCCTTTTATCTGTGTAGCCATTCTCAAAGCCACAGTGTAAAAGCAGGAACAGCCGTGGGCACCTGTGACAACATCTGGGGAAAGAATTCACCAGTGTAACCAGGAATAAGTCAGAGTGGCCATCTTGGGGACTCAGAAGCGAAGGAGACCACTTCCTTTTCCCCCAGTGTCATAGCCAGACAAGCTGCCACTTCTCCAGAGGGGAGTACCATTGACTGAAGACCCCACCTTGAGTGCTGCAAAGGTCTCTGCTCCCTGCTTGCCAAGTCCGTATCTACATAGAACTACTTCCAGTCTATGACCAAGTGCAATAGGCCACCAGGCACACTCCTTCCTCGGTGACATGGGGCTCTTCTGGCGAGTGGCATTGACTTTGCAGTTCCCTAAAAGACTCTGGACTTCACTCAAGACAAGCTAGGCTCCCTTGTGTTGTCACAACCTGTCTATTCCCTGTGAGGTCAACACTGCTGCGGGATCCAGGAGTCACGGCATCTCACCCGGCTCCAGTCTGCTTTCTTTCACAGGAAGTTTTCATGTTAAGTCCCTCTTATCAGATCTTAGCTTGGGCCTACTGGTTGAAGGGTCCCAGTTAGCACACCCTTTCACACTTTGGTGTCTGCTTTCCTTGTAGATGTTTTCTCCTCGTCCTCTTAACTTGCATCCTTTCTTGATTAGACTCCTGTACTGACTCCATCTACAAAAGCATGGAACCCAGGCATTTTAAGGCTCTCCATGGTGTACCTCAAACACATTCTCATCTTTCTAGTTTTCCAAACTCTGTCCTCTACTTTCATCTGCCTAGGATCCCTCGGGTCCTGCAGCTTGGTCAGCCATACTCACATTTCAGCTTCCTCAGTCTCCCTGCATGCATTGCTGACTGTTTTCTCGTTGCTCTGTACCTTCCCACCCGCTGCCCTGGAAACAGACCAGGGTCCACCTTCCTCAACCAGCCTCTCGGGGCTAGTCTATTCGTGCTCTCTCCTCTAAAGTTTTGATTCCAAACAATTTTCCAGTTAACATGGTGTCACCAGTTCCTGGATGCTACATGAGTTGCCCTCTCAAATAGACCATGAACGAGTCGAAGGTTGCCCTCTCAAATAGACCGCGAACGAGTTGAAGATGGATGCTTTATCCCTCCATCCTCTTCACAGTTAGGCTCAGAATCTGATGTTCTTCTCAGTAAGAGCTGTTGAGCCAACGACAAATAACTGATGCTTTGGTGGAAATTCAAAGACTGCAGGCAGAGACGGCGTTCAGCCTACCCAGAAGGACATAAGAAGTGGAGGATACTTTACAATAATTGGACTTGACTAAGTGCTCCAAGATGGTGCTCCAGGGTGGTGCACTTTGCATTCTATGAGTAATTCTGAAGCCAACGGTCATGTAGGGAGCAGGAAGAGCTTGGTAAATGTATATTTGTTAGATCCACCCCAGAAAGTTTGACTCAGTAGAACCTAGGCAGTGTCCAGAGAGCACCGTAGGGCATCTGGAGGCTCAAACTCTGAAAGACTCCATTGTACACAAGTCTCCTCCCAGCTCTGTGCTGTAATGCTGGGAGACCCTGATCTGGACACCCACTCTTTCTTTTAACTTGGATGGCTATAATTTAATAAACCAAGCAAGAAATAGTCACACCAGTGTCCTCCAAGGAAAGGTCAAAACATTGTATAAAGAGTTTGAGAAGTTTTCTTTCCCCTGGAGCCCAGCACAGACGAATATTAAGAGCTATGAAGAGATGATGATGTAACCTTTAGGCTTATTACATCTACAATGAGCAAACAAAATCAAGAGCAAGGGAAACAGGCCTTCACATGCTTGGCATCTCTTATCACCTGGAGCCTTGCACCAGCCTCTGGGAAAGAGGAAACTGCCAGAGAAGACTGAACATCAAGACAACCAACCACCTAATCCAGTCCGAACTGCTGAGCAAGCACTCAGACCAGAAAGAAAGAGAGGATCGTGTCTGGGAACATGCGGGATCTACACTCTGGATGGACTATAGCTCCATAGCAATGCCTCAAGGGATTGATTACTCTAGAAGAATGGGCATGCCAGTTAAATACAAATAAGCAAAAGCAGGGATCAAGTATTAAATGAAGCCCTACATTGTGATTCCTATTTTCTTGGCAAACTTTTGGGACAAAGCAGGCATGCTATCCATTTTATAGTTAAGGGGACATCCAGAGTGAAACCAACAATGTCTGTCCCTCAGCCAGCCAGAGGCCTGATCATACCAGGACCTAGTCGGCCTTCTTAGTTCCGCTCTGATTTGTTACTCCATGTGGTCAACATTTCACAGGATCATGTAAAGAGAAAGAGTCAGAGAGAGAAGAAAAACATCCCACATACTTAGGCATTCCCACATGCTCAGGAATTTTATCACCCATTCATGAACTCCACAAACGCTTACGTACTAAGCACCTTTTGGAAGACATGGAAAGATACCAGCTATATTCTGGAAATCAAAGAGAACTAGAGAACCAGGGGAGTTCGAGGCCTGGGGGTCATGATAACTTTGGTTTTCTTTGTTCTTGGCAAACAGAAAACAGGTGTGTGAAGAGAAAATAACTACACAAATTCCTAGGAGGCAAGGTTGCTTGCATACTTGGTCAAGTAAGTATCTCTTCTACCGATCTGGCTAAAATTCATGTAGGACTATAGATACCAGGATAAATGAAAATAAACCGGAATAGATCATGAGTAAATAGCACCTCTCCCTTCCTGTAGGATATGCATCCATATACACACATAGAATATGAAGGAAATTCGTGTGCATGTAAGCATTTCTAAATACAGCAAAGAAGCTCATATACATGAAGACATCAGCACATATTACCTTATCCTAAAATGGCATGTGACATCCCTAGACTATCATTCTGTTCCTCCATCTTCTCTGTAAGATTGTGACCTTTCAAAGGTTAAAAATCTCTGCTCATTCTACCCTGCATCTCCAGTGCCAAGCAAAAGGCCTCACACAGGGCATGTACTATGCAAGGTCCTTTGGCTGGATTATAAATGATGACAATAAAAAAGAGATGAGATGATAAACGTAGGAGAGAAGTACGAGTAGCTTGAGAAGAGGACACAATTACATCCACAGAATATAATTAGCAAAGCCTCCTTAAAGGTAGGGTTGTAAATGTTGGCCTTAATAAATGGTGAGAAGAGAATCAGGACATATCATAATGGCGTCTACTTGCCTTCTTGCTTGCCTGCTTCAAGTCTTTCTTTTGAACTCATAAAGGGTTAGACAGAATAGAGAATGGGGCAGAAGGAGCACTCCCAGGAGTGACAAACAGCTGAGCGGCAGACAACACAGGCTGTGGAACAGAGGGCCAAGCGTG